GGTATCGGATCCGATTCCGATACTGGTATCGGAATCGGGACACCCCTAATCATCAATGGTGAAAAATTAATGCAAAACTGGATGAAAATTAATCTTGTGACATTGTAGAAGCTTACTGAAACAATGCCACAGCGAATGCGTGCCGTAATCAAAGCTAAAGGCGGTCCAACAAAATCTTAAGAGTGTATGACCTTTTTTTGACCAGGCAGTGTAGTTTTACAGTTTCGCTCTAAAGTCAGTATTACCTGAACATGCTGATCAGGAGACAGCAGATGAAGGTATATTTTCAGGTCAGTGATACAGCAGGGTTTGTCACCAAACTTTGTGAAAAACTGCACCATCAGGTCTGAAGGATTACCTGTTCAACAGCACACTGTCACATACGAAAATAAAACAAAATGACCAGATAAACATGAAGCCTATAAATTCTGAACATTTTACCCGGCAGGTTTTCTTCAGGATAGCCTCGTTTTTTCAGTCTGTGAATTAGTTCCAGTCGGGCTAAATAGGGCCCTCTGAGAGAGCGAGACTCTTTGCTGTCTTCCACCTTGATTCTCTCTTCCACAAACCTCACCACCTCTGCCACAGAGTAATGTACCAAACCCTCCAAGCAGCTGGAGACAAAAGAATTAAAACCTGTTTTCTCTTCATTATTCAGCTGTGATCAAAGAGCTGCTTTGGAATAAAACACACACACAAAACCAAACCCTCCACAAACACTTTTACTCACTGTTCGCCTTCTTTAGGTGGGCTCCATGACTGATCCATTAGGTGGAAGGCAGAGTCGAAGTAATATGAATAAAACTGCCAATCATCAGGACTACAAACAYAAAACACAATCTGTTACTGCCATGTGTAGTTCTGTCAGACTAGGAGTGTTTGGTCAATTAAAAAAGAAAACAATCTGTTCTACAATGAGTTATGATAAGTTTCTTAATATTCATGTCACTGGTATTTTCATTGATTTCCCAAGAAAAAATAATGCATTAAAATGAATAAAATAAAAAAAATAAGAAGAATGTATAAAAAGCAAAACACGTGGTATCCCCCTTATTTTCGAACGCGGAAGTAAATATTGGTCAAACTCCTAGTTTTTCGTCAGGACGTTTACCGGATTTTCTGTTCTAATTGCTCATTTACATCGGTGTCAAGGGTGGTGCTTCCGCTCGACTCTGACAGTGGTAAGATGTTGGACGCACCATGCATAGNGATTTTCTGTTCTAATTGCTCATTTACATCGGTGTCAAGGGTGGTGCTTCCGCTCGACTCTGACAGTGGTAAGATGTTGGACGCACCATGCATAGGGCTTGTCTGGCCCCTCTCCAATTGGAGGACGGTCATGATCTGTGCCCCTCTTGTTTGGGGCCAGATCATCTGAGGGAGGCCTTGACTGAAGCGGCCTGCCCCAATTGTTTTGTGTTGCCCTTGTCCTTACGAATTGCCCGCTTGGCTAGTTTGGAGGGCACAAGCAAGCCCACAAAGCGTACAGCCCCAGAGGAAGTGGAGCCCCCGAGGAAGAACTCCAGGAAGAGCTCCAAGGGATCAGAAGGACTCTCTGGGCAAGTGGCCAATCTCAGTTCTGAGCTGGAGCGTATGAAGACGCTGCTTGAGGCACTCAGGGGAGACGACGACAGTGCTCCAGTTACGAACCCTGTACAAGAAGAGAGTTTGGGTTCAAGGACCCCCGCCTTTGAGGAGGACGCAATATCCTTGGCGGCATTTGCAACCCATTTTCATGAACAGTCGGATTCGAGCTCCTGTTTATCAAATCCCAGCTCCCATACCACCTCTGGCTCCTATTCGGAGGAGGATGGTTCCATAGTGGGTGCTTTGAAGACGGCTCTTGCCCGGCTGCACCTGGATGCCCCCTAGAGCCAGCCAACTACTTCCAGCGCCTTCTTCCGACGCCCTACTCCTAGGACTTCTTTCATGGTTCCCCTGTCTGAGGAGTATGTGAAAGAAGTGCATGCCTGCTGGGCTGATACTAGAGCCCTTTCACGGCCGACCTCGGATGGCAGGACCTTGGCGGCCATGCAGGACGCACCTAGGTTCGGCTTGGGCCATACGTCTTCCGTCAAGCCGGCTATAGCGTCCCTCATTGTGGCTCCAGATGAGGTTCTGAGGACTAATGCCAGGTGTCCTCGTCCTCAGTGTCGTGTCACGGATGACATGCTCTATAGAGCCTATGACTCAGAGTCACGGTTGRGCCGGCTTGGCAATTCATTGGCTGTGTCCAAAACGACAGGCTGGGTCCTCCGGAGGACCCAGACTACCCGGTCTCGGCGGGCTGGGTCCTTGGTAGACYGGAAAAWAAGAGGCTGTGAATTTGGACGGTCTAGCCTCCCCTCCTTACCCCGGCGTAAGTCTTGTCACCTAGCAACGCTAAACAAGCAAACTTGAATCAAAACTAGAAAAATATCAATACATTAGCATTATTAATATCACAAAACTATAAAATTAACTTAAAAGTATCATTTGAAGAACTAATTGACCCGCTGTAGGTT